ATTTGAGATCAACATGATCTCTTTCATTAGGCGGCTACATCAGTGCATGACATGTGCAGTCGACTTATAATGTTTGACGTGGAGTCAGGGGAGCAGGCTGATCTAATAGTGAAATCTAATTCTTCTGATGGAGGGACTAATAGATATTGATTACACGGCCCTCTGTCCCTGGATGCTTCATACTGAGATAGATACTCACATAATGTCACTGACGCACGGTGAATATTAATTTTTTGTGAAGGTAATTGCCCTGTGTGGCAAAACCAGTTCCCTTTGAATACTAACAAGGTCGACGCTGAGCTGAGCTGAAGTCCTGAGGCAGCGATCGGCTGCTTCACTCCTTTTTTGTTTAGATGTTTAACATCCAAACACAAAACCTGATTTAGGTTGATGTGTGGTGACAGCAGGGATGGATTATGTGACAATGGGGATAAGTAACAACCTCCTCCTCAGCACAAATACAGAGGAAGACCAACAACTACATGAGTGTGGTCGTTTTGTCTGTCATGGTTCTTTTGTGACTTTTTGTTCTTTTGAATCTCTTTTGTGTCTCTCTGTTGGTGTTTTGCATCTGTTTTTAATGTATTTTATCTGATTAGCTGCTTTATCAGAGGCTGACAGGATAGTGACTCTAAAGACAGGTGATGGAGACGAGTTGACTCTCAGCACAGAGTCTCTGTAGAAAAGTCTGGCTTTACCGTGTGATCTACCGGGGCTCCTCTCTCCTGTCGTCCTGCACCTCTTTGAGGTCATTTCACGTGTATTTGTGTTTGCTTTATGTTTCTCTGTGACACTTTTGCACATTTTTCAAAATTAATTTAGCATCTTTTGCCTTTTTGTGTTGGTTTTAGTCATTTTATAGCCACATGTCTCTTCATTGTCTGTGTTTTTTGTGCATATTTTTTTATTATTTTTTAATCTTTTAGTCATTTTGTGTCTCTAGTGGTGACTTTGCACCTTCCTCTGATATGTTTGTGTATCTTTTGTAGTTCTCTTTAAGGTTGTTTTGTCTTTTGGAATTTTTTTTGCATTAATTTTTGGTTGTTTTGTGTCTCAGGTCATTTTATCTCAATCTTTTGTTGTGCTCTTTGCAGTATTTGTATACTTTTTGTACAGATTTTGCATTTATTTGCAGTCATTTGGCATCTTTTTAGTTTTTATTGTTTCTGCAGCTTCTTCTTGTTGTTGTTCTACGTCACTCTGTCGTGTGTTTCCTTTACTGTTGTGGCTCCTTCACCACTTGTGTCCCCAGGTGTTGCCCAGCAGGCCTGTTCATATGCCTATGACGAAAAGCTGAAAGAAATGTGTCCTAAACAATGTGATCTCAGGCTTTTCTAAATATTGCAAGAGATGTAGAGTCTGTGGTGAGTTTAAGGACATTGGGCCTGAAAGCTACTGACTGACTGGCATGACAAATTATTTAATTATAGCTTCATAATGGTTTTGAATTAGGGTTCAAAGATTTCATCCTAAAAGTGTTCCCACAATGCTCCACAGTGCAGGTGCTGTACGTGACATCCTGATAAAAAAAAAACGTGTCTCACTACCACACTTCACACTGGATGCTGATATTTCATATTTAATAAGTAATTTAAATATTAAACGAACAATATGAATTAGACAGGGAACAATATTTTAAACAATAATCCAAACAAAACAATAAACCAAATATATCACATGTACTCTTTTGCCTTGTCACTCATTTCATATGATTATACACAAAACCCTCCTACACACAACATGTTGTTGAACACAGTGTGTGTTGTCGTCAGGTCACATCACCAAACTTTATTGTGAGAAGTTGTCGTACTGTTCTCGTTTAATGATTTACACCGTACAGGAACAGAGATGTGTTTTTTATCTAGTTTTATCTGATAATCGTGCAAAAAGCCAAATGTGTTTTGATGTAAAAGTGATTTTTTTTGTTCATTGTATTGTTTTAAATCTTTACATTCAATTATTTCATAACAAACAGGCTGAAGTTTAGTTTAGGACAAAACACTGAGGAGAATCTGGAGCTGACGATTCACTCCATGTTATTTTAGATTCAGCTTTATTTGAAGTGATAGGGCGCCACCTACTGGCTTAATCAGTATATCATCTTTTACCTAAATCTGTTTTTCTGATGATATTTACAGATGATTTAAAACAGTGGTGTCAAATTAGTGTCAAGATCCTGTCATTTACATTTTTTCAGTAAAACTGCGCTCATCACATCTCACTGAAAAAATCTGAGTTTTAAGATTGAATTATTTCATGTATATTTAATTTTCTTACTTTTTCCTTTCTTTGTCGTCATTTTGAATCTATTTGTGGCTGTTTTGCATCTGTACACATTTTGTTTTTATTCGTAGTTGTTTGACATCTTTGTGTATTTGTTTTGTGTTTCTTCTATGGATGTTTTCCTTCACTTTGTGATGTTTTTTCATCTTTTTGTGTTTGTTTTGATTTTTTTCATCTTTTTGTTTGTTTTGCTTCTTTCATCTTTTTATATTTGTTTGGCTTCTTTCATCTTTTTATACTTGTTTGACTTTTTTCATCTTTTAGCGTTTGTTTGACTTTTTCATCCTTTTGTGTTTGTTTGGATTTTTTAAATCTTTTTGTTTGTTCGACTTTTTCATCTGTTTGTGCTTGTTTTGCTTGTCTTTTCCCCTCATTGCAATATTTTGCAGATAAATTAATGCTTTATCGAATCATTCTCTTTAGTTATAAGAAATGGAGAAATATTAAGCCCTTCATTTTTATGTGCCAAGTAAAGTCCATGTGTCTGTGTCTAAAATGATGAAATGTTCATATAGAAGTTGTCGTATTATTGTAAACTGTAAAAAATTAATTATTTTTCCAAAAACAAAGTACAAAGGACATGATGTCATTATCCTCAGTCCTACTTTTGTTTTGTGTTCTGTAGCTTTAAGTCTCATCAAATAAAAGACCACAAGTACTAAAATTCAAAGTTAGAGTTCAAATCCTGTCAAAACTAAACCACACACAACCAAAGTACACGTAACGTGTTGATTTAATCATTGGAAAGTGGACTTTAATGTGGAGATATATAGAGCAAACCTGTCAATTTTACTATTTTCAGTTTAAACTTGTGAGGAACAGATTTATACAGATGAGTTAAAACCAGCGAGCAGAGTCTGAATTTCAGTCGGTCACTCTCCACGCCAGCAACCCTGTTCAGCCTTAAACTTGAAGCTTCTAGTTTCTGACATTTCTGACAGGTCATTTGCATTTTTGTGGCTCCCTCCACAGCCACAAACCATCATACAGTTCTCACAGGCTGAGTTTTATTCCCCATCAAAAGTAAACTGACCTTGATGTATGAAACATAAGTTTCCAGAGAAGAGGGGAATAAAAACTTCTGTGGAACCAATCAAAAAGTGCCCGCTGCCTCTCAGAGCTGCTGATATGAGGCTTTTTTCTCATTGTTTGATGAGAAGCTCTAATCCTGCCTGAACTCTGGTCTTCAGTGTGGACGTGCAACTTCGAGGAAACTCTTTTTACTTTATCTTAAGTTATAAATGATTGATGAGGGACATCAGAGAAATCGTGTAATAGGAAGAATTTAGTGCCGCACTGATGAGTGCAGACATTGTAGTTGCTGAAACGATGACTGGTAATAAAATCAATGGCGGATTTATACTTGTTGTTTATTTGGATCCACCATCAAAGAAAAAAGTGGTGAAAAACAAATGTTCTGTTTTCCTCTGTTTATTATAGAAAAAACAATATGAAGCACATGTGAACTCCATTAGTTCATCATTACTTGCAGGCTCATGCGAGATTCAAAATTAGCTGCACTTCAATAAATATACAGCAGTAAAATGCTGCAGAAGTTTTAATGCTTGTGATTTATAACCTAATTATGTAAAATAGAATAATGTCACAGTCACTGGGAGCATTTTTCTTAGCTTTACTGTATATTTTCCTCATTATACTTAGATCATTTTACTTGAGTTACATTTTCTGTGCGGTACTTTTACTTGGAGTATTTTTACATTATGGTTTGAAGGGAGTTCTGTGTCACTCTGAGATTTCTGCGTCCACCAGACACAATGGAGGTCGACTAAGATCACAGCCACTGTTAATTACAGGTCTGATGGAAGATTACATTTTTAGATTTCTGTTGGTGAAATGTGAAGAAGTCAGACTGACCTGCACCAGATTTTGGGACGAGATGATAAGTCTCAAGTGGTTCATGTCTCCAGGTTGCTCTGTGGTGAACTCTGGGAAATATGAACCAAGCATGTTGAGGTGTGACACCGTTTTTAGATATTTGTTTATACATGAGACTGAAATGAGAATAATGTTATGTCTGTGTTTTTATGGCCTGCCTTTTAAGAGAATATTCTTAAATACTAACTAAGAATAAAATAACTAAATATAATCCTTACAGTTTATTAAGTGGTGCTGAATAATTAACATGAAAAAACAGAAGTAGGATAAAAATAAGTAGAAAAACAATTAATCAAGAATGTCAAATAATAAGGATCCAAGTGAAAAATAGAAGTGTTCAGATATCCAGTAAAATGTGCAAATTATAAGCTTCAGTGAACATTGTATAATTGTTATTACTATTGTTATTATCATTGTTGTTTTATTATTATTGTTATAATTACTACTGTTGTTGTTATTATTACTAGTAATGTCATTGTTGTTGTTGTTGTTCTTACATGTTTGGTTTCTTTAATCTTCTTGGAAAAAGGGGAAAAATCATCCACTCTTCACAAACTAGCAATTTTGAATAGAGGCAGTTTAAAATATATATATTTTCCAATTAATTAGAAATGTCATAAGGAGTCAGACTTTAGAATTATACTTATATTTTGACTCTTATCTTTCTCTTGAGTCCCAATTGCTATTTGTGTCTATTTGATGAATAAGGACAAAAGGTTCAACTTCATTTAATAATGAAATTAGGATAATGATATTATTTTCTACACTGGCTTCTGTCTTTTCCTCTCCTCGCGTGTGTTCCTGAACGCACCCCGGCCGCTCTGTGCGCGTTCACGCTGCACTCTGCGCGTCCCAGTCATGTGACAGCAGCTCACCGCGCCTGCGCAGAGAAATACAAGATGGCGGAGAGTGCGGAACTGAAGGTAAGGCGCAGCCCGAAATCACGTTAAATTTCCTGGCTCTCCGGGCGCTGGACGCTCCGGTGTCAGTCCGCTCCGGTGGTTTAATGCTCCGGCCGCTCAGCCGGGCTCAGTCCCGGGGTTCATCCTCCAAACGCGGCACAAACTTTATTGAATCCGCCTCCGGAGCGTGTTTCTGTTGATGTCGGTCCGGGGGAACGGACCGTTTTCTCCTGCACACCCGCTGCTGGCGGCGGGATTCACTTCAAAAAAAATCTCCCTCTGCTGGTTCCTCGTCCGCGGAGGAGACAGCGGGGGCGACGCTCCGCGGTGGGCGCCTCCGGTCGCTCTGCCGGCGGGTGTTCTCGGGAGGGATCTCCGCTGAGTTTCGGGGCGACGGCTCCAGCCTGTCAGTGGGTTTGAATGTGACAGCAGCGCCATGTGAGCGGGCTCGTGTTGGGAAACGCGCCTCCCGATCCGGAGCGGGTCGATGTTGTTATTCCTCATGTTGAGATGATCTGGTTGATTACCGATCAGCTGTGATTATAAAGTTGACATCGGTGCTTCACGTCTGCAGCTGAAGTGACGTGACCTGTTGATGCTTAATGAGAGCACGCAGCTTCACGTGGAGGTTCGATCAGACGCATGTTTACATCACGAACATGATCCAATAACTCGTCCATCCACTGCACATCGATCAGAAATGAGCCTCACTTAAAGTCAAGGCTCCATTTGTTGTAGATCAGTCAAGTTATTTCAGAAGAGAAGAACGAGCTGAAGCTGCATCACCACCTCAACACTGAACAGTTCTGTTTGTGTAGTTCTGCAATAAAGTGAATCAACATTTAGCTTTTAAATTAGTACACAGTCAGAGTCGTGCCTTGGAGTTTTGCATCTGATCCCCGCTGTTCAACAACATGAGAAGGAGTCAGTGAAGTGTCAGAAAAAGTTTAAGTTCTCTACCTTCCTGTGTAAAGTGCCTCGAGATCATATATATTTTATGATTTGGCGCTATACAAATAAGATTGAATTGAAAAAGTGAAGACCGAACTTTCTGGAGGTCTTGATCACATTATAAACAAACGTTTATAAAAGTTGAACCCCCCCTCCCCACATTTCAAAATGTAATAATAACTTCTTTTAATTCTGTTATGTGTTTATGCTGCGGATGACGCAGTGTTTAATGTTTACATACTTTTTCTCTGTGAACTGTATCAAGGGAGATACGACCGGTCAAAGTCCCCTAAAAGTTCAAACCTAATAATAATTACAGTCAGAGAGGTGAAATTTCAGTGCCATGGCTCTCACATGTGACCAGGTCAGCACGCCAAGTTTCATTAAGGTCAGTGCCGCCACAAAGAGTGATCCTTTGACACGGATTCACTCCTGCATCTGAGCACTTGTCTGTGCTGTGAGACGGATCAGAGCAAGACGGTTCTTGGTTCGGATCCCACTTTGACCGGGGTCTTTCTGTCTGGAGTCTGCATGTCCCCCCCCCCCCTCGTGTTTGCTCCTGCTTCCTCCCACTGTCCAAACACATGCAGACTGGGGGTCAGGTAAATTGGAGACTGTAAATTGATGTTGTGAACATGAGGTTGTGTCTCTGTATGTCGACCCTGTGATACCCAGCCTCTCGCCCAATGTCCACTGGGATTTTGCTCCAGCTCCCAGCTGCAGCCCTCAGAGGACAAGTCGTGTAGTTGATGGTTGGATATCATATTCCTTCATAACACCTAATACACGGAGTATTGTTTTGGCTCAGCAGGTCTGGTTGCACAGGACAGGGTTTGTAATCAGAGGCTGTTAGTTGTGGGTCAGTGATCACACGTGCACCTTGATGCCCCTGACATTTACATCACAAGTGTTGTCACTGAAACCATATTGTTATTTAACTTAGTAAAGCAGAGTTGGAACCGATCTAGCTGATATTGATCCCAGTCTTGGGCTATTTTTAGACTTTTCCCCAGTGTGTTGCTGTGGATCTATACATGCTCCTTTGTGCCAGCTGCTGTTCGGCTGCACACACCGTAATGAACAGACCTGCTGCCTCCTCTCAAAAGCCTGATGTGGTCTATAATCTACCAGCGCCTGTATATCATGGTCTGTCTCTGATTAATCATAGTTAAAGGCAGTTCTTTATGGAGAGAGAGCTCCTCTTGCTTTTACTCTTCCTCTTCATAATATAAGTTCAATGTAGGCCTGCAACCGATGTTTTTTCTCACTGTCAATTTACCTGCAAATCATTTGCTGAATCTACACAATGTCAGGGTAACGTAGGAAATGCTGATTATAATCGAATTGATAAAACCCAAGTTGACATCTGCAGATTCCTTGTTTAGTCTTGTTTGGACTATGATTGTCTTAAACATGTGAAAAACGCAGCTGGAGATATTTTGGGTCAAACACGTTCACAACAACAGGAAAATGTCAACCATGCAACAATGGTTAAGATGTTGAGATTCTTCGTCACAGAGTTGTTAAGTGTGCAGGAATCAATTGAAATGGTGAAATAAGGGTCTTCTGCGTTTTCGAAATGTTGCCAGCACGCCCACTTGGTCGCTGTGAATTTTCTGAACATTTAGCTGCTGTGTTCTCATATGAGCTCACTTGGACATTTCCTCGGAGGCTGGCAGGAACAGGTCTCATATTCAGCCCTTCCAGAAAAATTCAGGAGAATTCACAGACTTCAGTTCATGTCTGAAATCAGCTTCAAAGAATAAGAAGCGTCCTCACGTTCGAGCCTGGAACATTTGGTACTTTTCTCAAACAAACAATTATCAGTTATGAGAAATACTTGTCAGTTGATTTTCTGCCATCAGTGGATGTGAGTAAATCAGGTGATCTGGATGTTGAGCTTTGGTAATTCATACCAGGTGCCTTTCACTTTTTTTATGACGCCCATGAATCAGGAAGATCCGATTACCCAATGATGAAAATAATCATTACTCTCAGTCCTAATTCAAACGATGTGACTTTTTGGACTGTTCATCAAATCCCCAAATGTCCTGTCCAGCTATGTTTTTAATAGTTTTCTGAGGAACTGAACGATGAAGCCCTGGTGATCTATGAGGACTGAGGATAGCTGAGGATGGAGGTGATTTATGTGAGATGCTGAATGAAAAATGATGGAGAAGTGTTAACCTCTCTCTCTGCTGTTGAAAGTTTTATCGAAGCGTAAATATGATCTTAGTTTTAAATATCACCGCATCGTACACTCACTGTGAAACGATCCGACAAACAGGCCTCAGGGTTTTGTGAACAATCCAAACAGGTGAGGTTTGGTTTAGCAGAGATTTGAAAGTCACCTATTGATTCCTCTGGATTTGAGAGAAAACCAAAGCTGCAGCAAACAATTAGTTTTTTACATTGTTATGTTGTCTGATTTAGTAGATAGCTGAAGCACTGCATTACAGTGTGTGTACAGTATTTCAAAGAAATCACAATATATATTGTTAAGTTACTGTGACCACACTGATTATTTCCCCTCCGTCCTCCTGTGTCATGAGAATAAACTGGTGGTGACGTAAGTATCAGATAATTAAATGAGCGCCTGTAACTGTGGCATAAGATTTTTTTTTTTCTCATTTCACACCTCAAATAAAAAATGTTTCGTTTTAATGAATTCATTCTGTCCATATGCTTCACATGCATCTTTCGTCTGTCAGCTACATCGAGCTGCAGAGCTCTGAACTGACTGTGTTACTGAGCGCTGGGCTAAAGACAAACATTCGACAGTGTCAGTGTGTGGCAGGAGTCATCAGTCCACCACAGTCAGAGAGAGAGAGAGAGAGAGTGCAGAAGCTGTGGATGGAGAGAATATCAATGAAAGGATAAGAAAAATCACATGGAAACTTCCAAAAACATTCCAGCGCTGTTGTTTGTTTAAAAAAACTAAAAGGTTTGCCCCCTAACATTTTCAACTGCAAAAAAATAGGATGCATTTTATTTGAGGATTCATTTTCTTACTCAGCATTTTTTAAATACATTTTCAGAAGTAGTGAGCTCCACATGCTTTCAGATACGATTTTAAATTGCGTGTTTTTTCTTCAACCAACTAAGTGATTGTCTATCAATCGACTTATCAATTATATGACTGATTTATTCCAGCTCTAACATGCCGTATACTGCATGTTGTGTTCTTGGTGGCCTCAGGCTGTAGATTATTATAGCTGAACTGCTGCATAAATCTGTGATGCAGCTGCCCCAGACAAAAACCAGAGCCTGTGAAATCCTCTGATGTTGCCAGGCCCCCGAATGCGTCCTGTTGCCTCGCATTTGTTTCACAGGAGTCCCGATCTGCCTCAGCTTCTTTGAACTGTCTTCTCTCTTCTCTGGAGCTGCTGCAGCAGCAACCTGGCAATACAAATGACTGTCTGTGCGCTGGCGGCTCATAGGTGGAGACAGTCTATTTGTAGAGCCTGTGGCTAGGTTAATCCCTAATGATACAGGCTCTCATCTCCACTCCCCTACATCCTTTCAGCACCTGCCTATTTCTCTTTCTGTCATCGTCATTATTGCCAAAGTTAATATTTGGTTTTCAAAGAGAATTAGATGTTTGCATGGAAATTACCGATGTGACTGGTACCTGCTCTCACCTGCTGCTCTATTTAAAACATACGTGCATGTGCAGATGCTCGTTTTAAAGCTCATACTAGACAGATAAGAGATGCATCTCCTTGCACCAGCTCACAGAGAAAAGTATGGAGAATGTAATCTGGTTGGAGATAGGCACATTAAAGATGTATGGCAGCGCACAGCATAATGTATAAAGCTTGCAGTGTGAGAAATGATCTCGTCTGGAACAGAGAAATCAGAGGTGTTTAGCATCAAAGCAGCAGGAAACAAACTGTCGCGAGGGTTTATTCCCGTTGTCTGCATTTAGTGAAGTTTATCGTTTGTGCTGCCGTCAGATGAAGACAAGAAGTATGTCATCTCAGGCCGCGTGATGCCCTGAATGTTCTGTACAGTCGGCCCAGTCCAACCAGCATAAGAGCTCTGCTATTGTCGGATATTTTGTCCTCTGA